GTCGTATTTGTGTAATCGAAAAGAAAAAAAACAATTAATAATTAGTAACCAGTAATGTGCTCTCAACGATTCATTCTGATTAGAGTTTAGGAATGAATTTAATTAATCGATTAAATAATTTCAAAAGTTGGGATCATGAGTCAATTGAAGCTAGACTATCATGGAAAACCTGAAAGCACTAGACGGTCGCTTCGTCCTATTGTGAAGCTCCTCAGCAGTGCGTATCCATGATGCCGCCTCGCGAGATTCGAACCGAGTGCCTATCGGTCTTGCGCGAGAACGCTTAACCTCTAGGCCACTGAGCCCGCATCCAATGGTGTCGATTTCTATCTTCAACTAATCCACGAGATTGAGCGACGCATTCACCATTGTCTTCAGTGAGTTACTATTTCACAACAGACCCGGTTGAACTCCACTGGTCACTGCTTCTCACTAGAACTCCAGGAAATATCTCCTGAAGCCAGTCACTAGTGAACAAATGAGGAATCGTTAATGCGCACTGTTGGTAAGTCCCATAATAGGACGAGACGGCCATCCATTGCATTCGGACTTGCCATGATGGTTTAGCTTCAATCGACTCATGATCTCAACTATTGAAATGACTATAATATCCACAAAAACCCTTTCGATTAAATAACTTTATTTAAGTAAATAGAGATGATCAATTTGAACATTCTTCTGTTCAATTTTTATTTTACATAATTAGCATTAAAATGAAACATAAAAATGAACGCAATATAAACATTTTGTTAATTTAATTAACAGTTTATTATAACAGAATACCTGATAAACATGATATATGAAGCTAATGTTTAGAGTGTCTATTAAAAATATCATGGATTTGGTTCAATCCTATGCTATTCATAACTTTCACGTCTATTAAGTAGTTTGATAACTGAGTTTTCAAACTATTTTAGTATACCTTCTCATACTTTATACAACTTTTGATGATTTTTTTCCCAGTGTAATTAATTTTCATGTTTAGCATTTAATTGAAAGCAAACACTCAATCGGTTTTTATATACTTTCCTTTCAAGGAAGATAAATATTCAAGCATAAAAATGAGAGAGAAACAAAAACGAAATTGACAAGAGACGTTTTTCAGTATGTGACACCAAATATTGAATAAATGAATCAAGTCAAAAATTGTCCGTTTTTGTAACTGAGTGAAATGATCATTAGAACATTCACAAAATAATTTTAGTCATTATACCTCTTATTCACGTTAAATGAAAAATTATAAATGACAAAGGAAATTCATTAAGTCATTAAAGTCATTAAATGAACTTAGTTAGGCGAAAGAAAATTTCTTTCTTTACTACGATCACATTCATACATACTTTGAAAAATTTAATCTATTATGAAATAGAAAATTTAGTTGTCGAGGTTTTACAAAATCTGGTTTTAGCTTGTAGGTTGTATTTCTCGCAGAGTGATCCAAGTTAATATACTATTGAAAACCAGGGGGTACTAGATAGCTATTTCGTCCTAGTATGGGACTGCTAGACAATGTGCACTCTTGAATTCACCAAATATTTAACTTAAAACCTTCAAACCTCATGGCGAACTCTCAACCGTTAGAAACCTTGGGTTACCTCCTAGTGGTGAAATTTCAACCTTGATAAGTTTGAGAAGAAGAGTGACGATAAGCAAGTGTCATTAGTAATAATACTTTCTAAATTCAGCCAAGCATGACCTCTCATTAGAACTTCATAAACATCTTGAAGTAATTCATTAGTGAGTTGACTATTATAGTTCAGTTGAAGGAGTTTTGTGGAAATCGGTCATAGTTTGTAGTTTTTATTTATCATAGTTTTTACCATGGAATATGAAGATCGTGAATTTGATCTCCGTTGGCCTCGTGGATACAAACTGAAGAGAAGTGCCATGCTAGGTAAAACAGCTGTACAGTGTTCCATAATCATTATTGGTACCTAAATTGAAATCACTCTGTGATGAATACACACTATAAAATAGAAAATTGTTACCTCATTAACGAAGATACCAAAATGTGATCAGAATTTCAAGTGTCGAATAAAGTTAGACAATAGTCTGAAAGTAATAAAAATGAAAATAAAATATGAATGTGAATGTTAATTTTCAGCATTAAGGAATATAAGGAAGACAACGAAGAGATAAACATATGTCAAAATTAATTTACGAAATAAAAAGTGATTACTAACACCATGTAGAATAAACAATTAGACAAAACGCCTCTGTACACATCAGTTGATAAATTCCTAAATCCTCCGTTGTGTACAAATTTCTTATGCAGCTTCCTCTAGAATCTGTTCGTTTTTGCTGATAAATTTAAATGAGGATTTTGGTAGAGATCTATGTTCAGAATATATCAGAGCTTTAACAAAAATACTGTTGACTGACTTACATTCACCTTTAGATGGCCATGTTAGGTCATGTTTGAATATGTGTTTGGAAAGCGCACGTTTTTTATGCCCAGTTTGAAGTGGTAATTTTAGTCTGTTCTTGTTTAAAATTAATTACTATTATTGTATAACTTGGATGATAATCTTTATCCCATACAAATAAAATATACAGTTATCTATGAATAATGTATGTATTTTTCATATTTAGCGAATTATTTTAGCAAATATATTAATTATTTTCCAGGATCAAAAATCAAATCAGACTTTATCAGATTTAAATCTAGCATTATAAGTTTTAAAGCTTGACTACCACTGTTCACTTATTATACATTGGTCTTGTAGAGCATTTGTACGACTTATATGTCATTTTATCACACTTAACAGTAGTTCGGAAACTATTAAAAACTAGGAAACTGTGATAATCAGTATTTGAATTATAGTACGAACTAAGAATCCCAGAAATAACGCAGTTGTATCAAGAAGTACTAGATAAGCACGGACGAATGTACTGTATTTGGAATTCGAAATCAAGCATCTAATATGTACAAAGGAATAATTAGTTCACTCAAACACCACAGGAACACTAGAGAGGTATGTTGGTTCGATCTGCGCTCTCCAGACAACCCAAAAACACATTTGACCTATAAACTTCAAGTCCTCCAAATAACTTAGTGAATTGATTGATAAAAAACGTGTATTAGTTAATGAATAGCCTTCAGGTGGCTTAGTGTCATTTTTGGAAAGCCATGACCTCTGTAGTTAACCAAGATAAGAATAGGACAGTAACGTTAGGTTACAACCCTTTTGATGTCTGAAATTCAAATCATTCAATGAAAACTCACTGTCCCTTCGCTATCATGCATAATGTGAACCCTGAAGGTCATGGTTTATCGTATGTGAAGTTACAGGTGGAAACTTTGAGGGAATCACCAACTGAGATTACACACCTATCTATTGTTTTCTGTATTTCAATGATTCGCCGACTGGCTTTAGTTTACTCTTACAGCTGCTTTTAAAGTATCAGTAGTTTGTTGCACGGTACGTGTAACTACTCATTTATTAATCCAAGATAATTTGAACTGCTATAGAACAAGAAGCATATAATCTACCATCATGTAATCACTTTTCGAATTATATTTCGAACTAAATAACTATCTTGAATAATGGAATAAAATAACTTTTTCCAATATTGTAAGACCTGGGACATACCCTAATAATGCGTTTCAACATTTATTTCTAGTCATGTATTTCGTTTTCAGAGTTTTACTATACTGGATCTCTACCTCAGTCAAACAAATAATCTTAAACAAATTATAAGTATTAAAATAAATCTGAAAAACGTAAGTGTCTAACTTTTGCTTTGATTATTAAAGGGATTTAATGATTCCTGTGAACATTTATAAACTGACTATTAATAAATCACTTAAAAAATGCAAATTAAGTTATCACTTTGATTTATTTTGTATACCCAACAAATCCATATCACCAGTTTTTGTGACTTCAGTACAAGTTGCCGGGTTCCGGGTTTCATTAAGAAGCGCGAGCCAGTCAGGGGTTTCCCAGGCATAAAAATAGACAGGGATAACAGTGTAAACGTGTTTAGTCTACTGGGAATTGTCAGAACATTGTAATAGGATTTTTGAAGTATCTTGTGGGGCTAACTATCCTTTAATGTTCAATAAAACTGCAGAATTTAGAATTTTTGAGCATTTTTGTCATTCATTTAGTGGGTGAGTGTTGTATATAAGAGCATGATTTTCACTGAAGTTTTATTTCCATCATCTAAAGCCATCTGCATATGTCTTCTATGAACACCTCATTGTAGTGCATCTCAATTTGCAAGTTAAAAAAGCTGAATAGATTGGAAGTCACAACCTAAAACGAAGTCGTCAGTGAAAGTTATGCCCTCGAATGCACCTTTTATTGATTAAGTGAAGGGGAAAATATCCGAAAATACTTGATACCGCACACATACTGAATAGTGAAAAACGCTATGAATTAATGAACACTCATTCTATATTATAGAATCTTGTTATTCAACCCAATGCAAATTCATTGTCTTTTAGTGTTCAAATAATACATAGATTGTTTTAATGGCTTATTTACAATAATTTTGTTGTTGAACATAGTAGTACGTAATGCATTAATCTTTCTGTATTTACGTTATAAAATAGATCATTTCTTATGAAATAATAACGAAACTATATTTACTGGTTTATAATCTTATCTAACTATTGAGTCATAAAACTAAATGAAATATCTTAGATTCCATTGACTGTCGTTATTCCAGTTAAATGCACATTAACAGTTTTTTTCCTCACTATTTCTGAACATATTTTCAAACTTTAAGTGGGTACATGAAGTGTTATATGTCATTTTCTTCTTTAGATATTATTGTTTTATTTCATCATGTTCTTACAATGTTCGAAGTAGTTGCATAGTTCCATGTTGTCGATTGATTTTTTACAGTCTATAAGTCTTAAGTAATAATACTTTTTCATATTTCGACGTGAGCAGAGATTTAAGATGTGTCAAGTTTTTTTTACTGTATCAATAACTTTCCTATGAACATTAAATGAAATTTCTGTTAACTTTTTATTATTCATAATTATCTAGACATCAAGCAGCTTTATCTGATCATAAAAAACGTGTTCATGGTCCACGTGAATATATTTGTGGTATATGCTCTGCAGATTTTGCGACAGAAACTTATCTACGTTCTCATGTACGAATTCATGATGAAAAACGATTTGTTTGTTTAGAATGCAAACATGGTTTTTCAAATCCATCGGATTTAAAAAATCATATGAGAATACATAATGATGAAAAACCATTTGAATGTGAAGTAAGTGAATTGCAATTATTATTATTATTATTATTATTATTATTATTATTATTATTATTATTGTTATTATTATTATTATTATTCATAACGTTCTTTGTGAGATTTGAAGACCTTGAATTTGATCTCCGTTTTCCTCTTGAGTGCAAACTGATAAGAAGTACCATACTAGGAAAAAACAGCTGTACTGTTCCATAGTCATTAATGGTACTTTTGTAGTGAACAAGAATACGAGTGGGGATAATCGAATGTATTTGACACAAAATTACAGAGCATCTCAATAAAATCTGGGAAACATATAGTAAATAGTCAATTTGCAAAATATCAATACATCGTCTCAAATTTGACCATTCCTTTGCAAACATCAGTCCATTGTCTCAGATTTGATTGTTCATGCATTTTCATACCAATTGCGTTCCGTTTCCGTTCTTTCCTTATCGATCATCCGCTGAAATACATTCTATGCCTGATAACCGTTATATACTACTTGTATGGACATAAGTAACCTACATCACATCTTAATTGAAATCAATCTATGATGTATACAAACTATAAAATAGAAAATTGTCACCCCATTAACAAAGATACAAAAATGTAATCAAAAATTTCAAGTGTAGTGTCGTTCTGAATATCAATAATTTACGTATGATTTATAGTCTCCTGCCTGTTAATGGATTTGCAGAAATGAAAGTTTAATTTATGGTTAAGCAGTTGCTAGTAATAATAATCAATATTTCGAGGAATTTTATATTTTAAAACAAGAAGAAGTCGACTTTGTCAACTAATGTATTTATAGAATTGGATAGTTGACAAATTTGTGACCAAGTACATAAGTGAAACGAAGATTAGGACTTGAACGATAATACTCTCTCAAAATTTCAGAGATATCATCTTCATGTATAAAACGTTATTACCAAGCTAATATAAAGCTATCTGTAGATATTGTTATATACCGAAATCTACTGAAATTAATAATAACTGTTTCACTAACACGTAAGAATACTACTCATTAACAAACACACCAACTGAAGTCTTCTGTCATTTTCGCCATTAAACTGGTTCAGCAGAAAGTTAGGATTTATCAGAAAAGTTAACAAAAAGATCACTGCAAAAATAATGTAATTCAGTTGAAAAAATTTCGACGAATCACTTAAGCCCCAAACTTTATCGATATCCGAAGTCTAAGATTTAGGGCATTAAACTGAAAATCGTATAAAGTCCGAGTGTTTTCTGAATTATCGTTCCATAGAGAACCATCGACATCACTAGTAGTCTCTTGAATACATAACGGAAAGATGATTATTCAATCTTAAAAATTGTTTTACAACTACGTAGTTCACCTTAACTATTCTTTCCAGAAACTCTGAGCCATCAATGTAGAATTTATTTATAATTAACACCAATTTATCAACACATACATTCTTTATTTAAGTACTATCCTTTTTGATAAAATTTCATTAAAGCATTATATAATTTCACTTAGTATTATTAACCTATGAGAAAAAATCAGCCTAGTTGTAAGATTGTTGTTTGTTGTATGTTTTACTAAAATGGGTCGATTGTGATAGGGATATTACTTATTTGAAGAAGGAATCAAAGAAATGTTCATAAAAATGCGATTGGATTAAATTGAATATTACATGAAGTTCACTAGATGTAACAAGTAGTTGGAGTAAATAGATTTCAATGAATTGGCATATAGTTAACTTGAAATAATGGAGTGAACCGATGGATAAAATTGTTTTTAAATATGATCAGTATACTTTCATAAGTCTTTCGTTTTATTTTAATTTATAAAAATCAGTGTTATGTAATAAAGTTAAATGCATTTTGAATTTCAGTTTGCTAGATGCTACTGAATACTTTTAATGTGTGCTTAAATCCACATATATAACAACAATTCTAGCAAATATCGATTTAATATTTTACGTATATGTACTAAAGTCTACGCTTCAAATGTGGGGAAAAACATCACTTTGCTACAGTGGTAAAGTGAAAAGTCACCAAATAAAAAGACCACTTGTACCAATCGATCTCCTAAGTGACAAATGCATGATATTGGCCAAGAAATAGCTTCATTTTCCAAAGAGTAGATAATTATGTCAATGAATGAATGTTTATGCATGCGGTTTGGCTTAGGTCAATAAATTATCTTCTTTAGTCCTGGTTCTCTCGCTCAGCAACCAGTTGAGAACTTACATATAGGAAGTTTGTTTATCAGTGTCAGACTCGGACAACGTAGGTCATAATATATTATTGAGATTAGCGTGAAAGGTAATATATCCAAGTAGTTAGAATTCATTTTACCTACCAATATATGTGGATTCAAAGTTAGTTGAATTTCACTAATCAGGCAGAGAAGAGGATTGTACCAGGACTACAACTTTTATTCACTATGGTAAAAAAGATGCTAGTATAAAAGTATTTACATGAATGTTCGTTTTATGCTAATACGCTTATAGTATTACGAGATAGATCAAACCTGATAACCTTAGGATATTCTGACACTTAATTCACTTACTTCTTAACATTTGTGCTTTCATTCAGTTCAGTTGATGATGACTTTTGTATGAGAAAAGATTTGTCAGTCTGCTCTTATTTGAAACTCCCTCAAAATGAACTTTTCTAAAAATCACAAGTGCATAACGTGTCATGATTATGAAATGAACAACCCGAGAATTTCTTAATGCATTCATCTAAATTAATCGCATTAAAAGACTGAGATAAATCATACATTTTTGTAAATTTTTTATTCTAATCCGCCGACATGATACATGTAAACAAAAATACTGGTTGGAATGCTAACTACTAACTAGTTATTAAGTAGTACACCAGAATACACTAAAGTACACTAGAATACACTAGAATATTGGTCTTGGTTTCACTTTTTATTTCAAACAAGATTTTATATCAGCATCTATTTAAAACAACAGATTTAACCAACTAATGTGTTCTTATTCCATTAGGTGTGTGGAAAAGCATTTCGCCATGTGAGTGGATTTTATGCTCATATACGAATTCATACAGGTGAAACACCATATCAATGTGAATTGTGTGCAAAGAAATTTAGTAATGCAAGCAATTTTCGCATGCATAGAAGGGTACATACGAAAGAAATGCAATTCCGGTAAACTTTTCGCTTTCAAAATTATTTAAGTATTATAAATATGTCAATTGTTGACTGAAAAAATTGATAATGTTGGCATTATTTCATAATTAGAAGAAAAGGAAGTTAATAATTTGAACTAGTATGATATAACTCAAAAGGTGTTCTCAGTTGAGTCAGATTTATTCCATAAGTTACATTTCAAAAGATAGATCATGTGACTTGATTTTCATCTTTTCAGATAGTTCTCTAGATCTATCCGAATATGCCATTTAAGTGGAAACCGATGGCAGGTTTCTTACTTGCTGACACTTGTCTGGTTATGATACGTTTATTCTCAAGGATCTAATGGTCTAAATAGGATTTGAACCCGCTTTACATGCCGTTGCAGTTTAAGGTGCTCCTATTAAATTAACTCAAACTTCGTCGGTCTCCTATTGAAGATTATCGAAATATTAACTAATGGCGAATTCGTATAATCCCTAATGCTAATCAAATCATATTGAACAAGCTGCGATTTATCCTAATAATCAAAAATTTATGTTATACGCTATTTTATAGTTTATCATTAGCCCAGTACATTTATATAATTCAGATGAAAAAATCAGTTTACTCAAAGCTATGACATTAGTTATTTTTCAGTTTCTATTTTACAAAATTATCATAGACCTTTCTATTCAAATGATGATGTTAATTTCTTTCTCTTTTATTTAATGACGAGATAATCTATTTTTAAACAACAGCCTAAGATATAAATATACGTAAGTCACTTTCTTACACTTAGCAACATGGGGTTTATTATTTGGACCCCTAGACAAATGACTACTACTGACATGAATGATAAATATTATTCGAAGAGTCGAAGGCATTATTATTTGTTATAATAAGCAATCATTCTAAATCATTATATAATGGTACTTTGTTTAGCAAATCGAACAATCACATCAACTATTATTATTGTAATCCGCTCCAAGTAAATTCAAGTTAGTATTCCCACTGAGACCCGAAGCTCTATGCCGTGTAAGATCTTGAGTGGACACTCTTGAGACATCTTGGATAGAGATGAAACGGCCATCTAGTGTCACGTAGTTCTCAACAGTTGTCTAAGTGGCGTCGGTTCATAGGTTGTGGAAATATTAGCCTGTTGAACAAAATAATTTGAAATTTGAGCTCTGCAGTTTAGTTCACGATTTTTTTATTTATAGATTAATAAAGTTGAAAACAAAATCATTTTTATGGGTAATTATTATTTTTATCTTGTTAGGATGATGTTTAGCTCCTGAAATGTAAATATGAGTCACTTGGTATCATCATCCTAGTAATATTATGGGACGTAGTGTATGATTATGTGTGATTATTTGTGCTCCACACGACTTCGTTCCATATAGCTACTCTGATAAGCAATTCCGGCCAATTTATGACTCTAATGTTGTACGGTATTATTGACTTATTTCTTTTTTGATAACATTATATTTTGATAATCATTTCTTAATTATAATTATCTTTTTTTAATATAGCTGTCAAACATGCGGTAAAGAATTTATCCAACCAAGTAACTACAGTCGACACTTAAGAATACATACAAAAGAAAAACCTTATTCATGTAATTTATGCTCTGCAAAATTTCTTTATTCAACTTCTTTAAAACGACATCAACAACGTCATCATGGTTTAGAATTATTAAGATGTCAATTATGTCAGAAAACATTTTTAAATGAATCATGTCTTATTCGACATCGTACTGGTTGTGAATTACGCGCTTGTGTTAAAACGGCAGATGAAGAATTATACACTCATTTATTATAAAACTAATAATATCAAAAAAATCCGTTTACATTTAACACAATGCTTCTCTTTTTACAACTAGAAAATACTACTACTAATAATAATAATAGTAATAATGTGTCAACTTACATTATGAATGAGTAGATTGTAAATCTTGTTTTGTTTCACTTTTCTTTTTATTCGCTAAAATAAATGTTCCCTTATTTTTTTACACATTCAGAAGAAGATTATCACTATGGTAACTATGGACACTATTTTTATTTGAACTATTTCACCACACTATTTTTTTTAAAGAAAAAATCTTTGATGATAAACATTTTATGTCATTTTTTTTCTTTTTCTTCTTTTATATAAACCACTTTTTATTGGTTTATTTTTGCAGTTTGTTTTTCAGTTTTTTAATATCAGATAATGTGCTTTATCATACATACCTTAACGTTTATTTTGTCAGATAATATTCGTAACAATGAGAATTATAATAATAAATTTTATATATTTTTTTTCATAAATAACGATCAACTTCTTGAAGCTACATATCGATATTGAATTTCTCAAACATTTATCACTGGTGATATTATAACACTGACTATCAAGTGAATGGATATAAGCTTATTTATCCAATTGTCGTAAACGAGAACTCAGATGGGGATGATTAATTTATTATTTAATACAAAATTAAAGAATATCGTGGAAAAATATACGAATCATACATTGAATACTTTGTTTGCGAAATTCCATCATTTGACCTTCATATTCTGTATGGTTCTTCCAAGTTGTAATTCCTTACTATATCCGTTTCTGTTTTCTTTAAGTTGACCTTCATAGCCGTTTTCTGCTATGCATTCCTCTTCTGACTGGTGTTACATGCTATTTATGTCGACAGACATGAGTTCTTCTGAACGACATATATCTAAATTTATCTCTGACTACCAGCATATGAGTCTAGCCGAGGATTTCATTTTCTAAATACCTAAATGTCCATCAGAAAGATTTTCAAGGGCAGATTTACATAATGAAGGAGGAATAACAAGACGACCATTTAAACACAAAATACCATCAGGAATAGTGGATAACTTGTCCCGTTTTGAAAAATAGACAGGAAATATACGTTTCGGATTATCATTCCAATCTTTTCGTTTGACACTGAGTATACATCAACAGTACCGACGAGTTTCTCTACAGAGATCTGAATGTCTCACTGATAAAAGGTTGCACTAACAAACAGTCGTCAGTATCAACAGGTTTATTGTGGAAAGATTTTCGAGATATGTAGTCGACATGTTGAATTTGACACTTCTGTGCTGAATCGTGCAGTCATAGGCATTCAAAGCAATACTCCATTGTTGAACAATAGCAGATGAGGAAAGTGCTAAGGATTTTTCAGGATTATAAATGAACTTTAAATCTTCGTGATCTGAAACAATAGTGAATTTGTCACCAAATAAATAGTTCTGAAGTCCTTTGACAGCCGAAAACACAGACTTCGTAAGCATGACACTTGTTCCTCACCCCATTTGAATGAATTAAATGTCAAAATATAAAATAGACAGTTGGCACAACAAGGTAAATTGGGAATAAAACGGAAATAGTACTGAAGAGCATCCACTAGTAAACGTAAATGTGTAAGAGTTTTCAGAGTTAGTTTATTTGTTAGTGGAGCCAATCACTTCACATCTGGTTTAAAACCGTTAACGTCCACAGGCATCCAGGACATTCGAAAATAGATACACGAAATGAACACCTATTTGGATTCACCGTTATATTCTTTTCAATTAAACGATGCAATAAAGCAATAAGTCTCTGATCATGAGCTACTTTATCAGGACCATGAGTAATAAGGTCATTTTGATAAACTTCAACACCTTTAAGTTCACTGACTTCATAATTCATCACTTCCAGAAATATGGGTGGCGAACAGTTTAGACCATAAAGAAGGAAGTCGTATTTGAATACACCAAAGGCAGTGTTAAATGTTGTCCAAATAGATGAAGGATGATCTAAAGGAATTTGAAGATAAGCACCTTTTAAGTCAACTTTTCAGAACACTTTAGAAACATGAGGCCGATTTAAGATATCTTCAGCTTTCACCTTAGTGCACGTTTGCTTCAACAAACGGTAGTTCAGTGTTAACCTATAGTCACCAAATATTCTAGGGGTATTGTCATCGTACTCGAATAGCATCACAACAGGAGCAACTTATAGCAGCTGACGTGCAATTGAGTTTGTTCTCATTTAACTTGGTTAATCCCTTTTGTTAACTTATTTAGCCGACAAAGTCATCTGTACTATAACAACTTACTGTACATTTATTGTTGTTGTGCCTGTATGAAATATGTATGCTTGAACATTGCTTACGGTCTACGCATCTATCCATCCTGCTAGCTTTATTACTAGCTGCTTAACTGATTCGATGATTCATCCACTTCCCTATATTTATACATGTACATTTACACTCTACACACTCTACACTCTCGGTTCGCTGACTCATTCATTTGCCTCTCTGTTTTGTGGTCTAAATTATCTGCTCATAAAACTGTAGTCGCTACTTCTCTTTGAATTCTGATTTCAAACACCGTTGAAGATTATATGGTAACGGTTACGAGGGTGATTGGTCAATCTCATGCTAAGAACTGAATCGGTTCAATTGCATGTTTAGCACACGAATTGTCCAATGTCTTATTTACTGTCTCTCAAGGTCCATAAGGGATTATTCGTCTTTCAAGAAAAATTGGATCACCCTGTACTTCAAATTTTATGAGCTGAATTTTCATACCTTCACTGCACTTATCACATTCGGCTATCAAATCTTTAGGCAAAGCATCAGACGTTTCCCTAGAAACTAATAAAGAAAACTCCATTTTAAGCCCTTTCAAACTTATTGCACCCAGCATTCACAGACTTTTTCACTAACTAAAACCACACAAGGCATCTATGAAGAGCAATCGTCTCTTATTAGCAACCCAGAGCATCTCATTAACAGATTTTGTCCAGTAATGCTCAATAATGAGACTTCAGTGGGTCGTACTGCAACATTAAAATCTAAAGATCTAAGGTTCTAAAATGAAATAATGGACTCTAGACCTCTTGTTTCAAAAACAAAGTCATGGATTAAACCAAGGGAGGTATATAATCACTTTCAAATATGGACATTACCTTTCGCATTAATGGAAAAAGATACACGGTTATTAGAAAAACCAAGCCTAAAAAATCCGAACTACAGGGATTATCATCACTAGTGAAAAACAAACAGTAACTCTACAAATCCACTTAATGTACCTCATTTTACAACGGTTAAAGCATTTCAGATTAGGATTCAGATTTGTGTAGTAAGGATAGAAAGCCTACGGCCTATGTTGTTTCTCTTCTGTTATGCTTCTGTGAGTGTCTAGTCTTCTGTTGAATCAATCAAGTGAATGTGAGAATGCCACTACCTCTTATAACATGTCGCAAAAATCAAGGACAACTTGTATGCCACGTGTATTTTGTTTGTTCTGGGCATTTCTACTCGCCTACTATGTTCTCTATTTATCCCAATCTGGTAGGAAGAAAAAGAGAGAATATATAAGGCTCAAAATCGCTTCTTAGTACCCTACACATCAAAGCCAGGTCACCTCTTAATCTGCGATAAAACAGAGTAAAGAGGTTTAGCTTTTCAAGTCGCTCTTTGCATAGTAAACCCCGTAGTTCTGGGGTTGCACAGGTATATTTCCAATGTACTTTTTCCAGAACATCCGAGTTTGCTCTTAAATAAAAGATTGTAGCCTGAATGCATTTTTCAAGTTTAGTTCTCACTAAGGTTGTGCATACTGTAGTTAAAACCATGGTAACTAACTTGGTGAATATTCGGTTTAAAGCACATAGGGTTCTAAACCACTTCGCTACAACCTCCCGGCAGTGGGACATGGCCTTAGAATCATGACCCACCGTTACCCAAAGACACATGTGGAACCGAACCACAAGTGCAAGCACTTCCTCTATTCTGCACCTATTTACCTTTGTATCCCCAAAGTGCATGTTGACAAACTTTGCCGCATTGATAGGCATCAGAAACTCTTTAGACCAGCTAATCACAACATTCGAAACCGCCTGAAGTACGCATGCATCCGCATATTATATTATTTCTCGCCAGGCTTTTACATCAGGGTGTAATCCTTAAGACATTTTAGGAAGAGTTCGGCAATGCTAAGATTTTCCACTTTCGAAAACAGTCTATTTGTTGGCATCTTATCAAATGATTTGCTGAAGTCCATGTTAACAACATTCACTGCTTATCCATTTTCCAGAGCCTCTATCTATTCCTCTCTTGTTATAAGGAGATTTGTCGCACTAGATAAACCTTTTCTTCAACCGCATATTTTGCTGTCGAAAACGTTATTGGTTCCCACCCATGTCATTATAGTCTTTTTGACTATTCTTCTTAGTATCTTAACTACGACACTCCTAAGGCTGACATCTCTGTGGTTCGAAGGAAGTTGTCTTGGTTCCGTTTTATGTGATCGAGTGACGACTAAATTTTTTTAGTCCGTAGATAACACACCTTAACAAAGTGACAAAGTGAACATAGTCAATGGAGCAGCAATATATTGTGCAATTTATTACGAGACTTCAGAATGTAGTTCATTCGGTTTTGTTAACATTTCCTTTTCTAAAGTGCCAATAGCCTTAAGTACGTCGACTCTGTAGAAGTCCACAGTGAGCAGACGGTTTGTTGACTTTGTTTTTAGGTCTACCTCTACGTCTAAAAGAGGCTCCTGAGTGAAAACTGTTCTGAAATAGTTTACTATTGCCTATGCTTTTTCCTGATCATCCTCTTTTATTTAAAATACACTCTTTTCATCAATTGGGTTGGGAATTCAATGCTGCGTACTTGTTCTGTAATTCAGGTACGAGAACATTCCTTTAGGATGCATGACTACAGATTGAAATAAACACATTTCATATATTCTCTAGGCTTCCCAGATTTTAACTGTAGGAATAGTATTATTAAAGATAGGAAAATTGTGGTTTCTAACAATTTGCAG